AATTTAGGCCCACTATTATTTCTTATTTATGTTAATGACATCTCGAATTGCAGCAATATTTTAAAATTGCGGTTGTTCGCAGACGACACTAATGCTTTTTTGGAAAATAGTAATATACTAACTTTAACCACAATAGTTAATGTTGAATTAGAAAAACTTACCAATTGGATTAAAGCAAATAAATTATCGCTAAATATAAAAAAATCGAAATTTATGATATTTTCATCCGTTAGGAAACAATTTCACTATATTCCAAATATCAAGTTAGATGGCTCTTCACTAGAGCAGTCAGAATTTTTTAAATATCTGGGTGTCCTTCTTGACAGAAACTTGAGTTGGAAATTTCATATAAACGTTATATGTAAGAAACTTTCCAAGAATATTGGCATGATTTCAAAATTACGTCACTATGTTGATCTTGACACACTAAAAAATGTTTATTACTCCCTAATATATCCTTACCTTTATAATGGGGCAATTATCTGGGGAAATACGTACCAGTCTCGTCTTAATCAGTTAAACATTTTAAACAACAAAGCTGTCAGGATCATGACTTTTTCCGAACCTCGATCCCATGCTCCACCTATCTACAAATTACTAGGTATTCTTCAAGTAAAAGACATTGTTTACACCCAAAAATGTACTTTTATGTACGATTACTTTAATAATAGGTTACCAGTAGCATTTTCTAATTATTTTACACACTCGTCAGAAATACATCAACATTATACTCGATATTCAACCCATAACTTTCATTTGCCATCTGTTTCTAGTAACTCAGGAAAATTCTCATTAAAATTTTCTGGAATAAAAATCTGGAGTTCTCTTGATAATCAAGACAAATTACTATCTAGGAAATCTCTAATAAAAAGAATTAAAAAGATTTGCCTTGATACCTATTCCTAATATAAAATGTTTACTTACTATAATCAAATCAAATCAAACCTATTGTGTGTGATGTTAATGTACAGTATGTGTGTATATATGTGTTTATTATATTTCTATATACATTTCTAAATTTTTTTTTTTTTTGTATTATTATTTGCCATATTTAATTCATTGTTGTATATAGTTCTTATGGGGAATTGGCACGAAAACTTTAGTTACTCTAATTCCCCAGCACCGTTCTCACTTTATTGTAATAATCTTGTCATTTTTTTTTTTTTTTTTTCTCGAGTGCAAATAAAATTCTATTCTATTCTATTCTATGCCCTAGCGAAAAGTGTAAAAAGGAAAGTATTGAGTCATTACTGCATGAATTTAGTGATATATTTCTACTAGGTGTTGGTAAGTTACTGATTATGAGTAATGAGCATACAATTCAGCTCGACCCTGAGGTCGTACCAAAACCTTCGAAGATTTCCTTTTAGTCAAATTGAAGCAGTGAACAATGAAATTGACAAAATGTAGAAGCAGATATTATGGAAGAGGCGCCAGTTAGTCCGTGGGTATCTGATATTGTTGTAGTACCCAAGCAAAATGCATTTATCCGAGTGTGCTGCGATTATCGAGATGTTAACAAAGCTATAATTAGGGAACGTTACACTATTACCTATATAATGTAGAAGACACATTAAATGCAAAGCACGGTTCTAAATTTTTCGCTAAAATAGACGCTAGAAGCGTTTTTTTCAGGTGAGTTTAGCCGACGAATCTAGGTGTGTCACAACTTTTATAACCCCTAGGGGATGCTATAGGTTTAAACGTTCGCCGTTTGGTTTAAATGACATGAGTGAATCGTTTCAAAAGATGATGGAACAGATTTTATTTGACATAGACAAAGTTGAAATTTCTATTGATGACGTGATTGTTCATGCGGAATCTGTCGTAGGTTCCCAGCGCAGCGCCGCCAATTCATTCAACTGTAATACACTTCATGTAATATATCAGTATTGTGATCGACGTAATTCATGTTAAATCGTGAATAAGTCTTTGTATGTGTAAATTGATACGTCACAGTGACACATTGTAATTTGGTAGGGTAATCAAATAGCTAGGGAGTGATTGAATGTCATTGTTGCTGTCAGATCGTAGCGAGACAATTGGAATGTTTAACAGTCTAAAACTCACGTTGTAAATACTTTCACATAATACAATCAATACAATTATAAAATACAGTCCCTTGAGCGTTTACTGAATGAACCAGACGGTGGAATCACAAGTTCCGCAACAGAATCTATGCACGAGTTAGCTAAATGACTGAAGCTTGTTTTCGAAACTCGAAAGGTTTCGTGAGCGCAATTTGACCTTGAATCGAAGTAAATGTGAGTTTGGCCTAAAAGAGATTACAGCATTAGGGAATGTGATGATGATGATGATGATGATAAACTTTATTTAAAAATCACACGCTAGCTTCGTCAACTTTCGCTGATTTCCACGAGGGGCGTGTCAATTACATTATAAATAGTAACAAACATTAAAAATGAACATATTTACAATAGTCAACCTAATATTATACCATAATAATTATATTTACATTATATTATGAGAAATTGTGAGCACTAATTCGACTTTTAAATATTGGCAAGGTAGCCGAATCACGCAAATCTTCAGGTAAGGAATTCCACAATTTCGCCCCATCGTAAGAAAAACTTTTCTTAACATTTTCAGTCCTGGGAAAAGGGATTTGCAGTGATGTAGAGGAACCCCTAAGCTCGTAATCTGTGACATCACTTTTACGCATAAAAAGATTAACAAGTGCATTTAGGGACAAATCATTTAAAACTTTGTACATTTGTACTGCTTTAGACTTAGCTCGTTGAGACTCAAGAGTTTCCCACCCTAAGGCAGTAATTGCTTCTAATCCAGGGGTATCATTTGTCATACTCATTACTATTCTCGCCGCTGTATTCTGCAGTTTTTGAAGTCGAGTTGAAAGGCCAATGCCCAAGGTATCCCATACCTCACTGCAATAATCGAAATGAGGGCGAACTAAAGCATTGTAGATAGAGATCAAGGTTTCCCTATCGACAAAGTCACGTATTCTTCTTAAAGCTCCTACACCGGAAGTAACCTTCTTGGCCACGCTTTCAACATGCTTGTTCCAAGACAATTTTTCATCAATTTGAACCCCAAGTAATCTACTATGATGAACTTGCTTAATTTTGTCTTGATCTATTTTTATATTTGGTTGATTAGTAAGGTTCTTTAATTAATGTATGATTTGAACCAATAAGTATAAATTCGGTTTTTGAAGCATTGAGACTCAGTTTGTTGGCTAAAAGCCAGGTATGTACACTAAGGAGATCATTATTCATGGCCAACTCAACTTCCTCTATTGACTCACCAGCTACCGTAAGATTGGTGTCATCGGCAAATAGCCGAGGGGCAGCTTCATGAAGACATTCTGTCGAAGAAATCAGCATATTCACGGTTTCCCCCTATCAGATTCCATTGAAATCTTTACCAGTAGTTTGAAAATACACACAGATCAGCCAGAATACAAAAATTTGGACTATCTTTTAATATAGCATGAGAAAATCAACAAAATGTCCACACAAAATTATCGCTCACTCATTAGTAAAATATATGGCAGCCATGGCTTGGCCGCGCGCTCGCCCCAATGTTTTTCACCCCCGGCAATATGGCGGAATAAACCTTGAAAGGGCCTATTGGCATAGTTGTTACTGTACAGTTGATGTCTTGTGCAGATGAACTTTCCTTGTAGGTGGTGTGGGCACTATTGAATTTGCAATCACTTGAGTTTTGATTTATATCATCTTCAGAATTCTTCTTCTTGATCTTAGAGGCAAAATCAGGATCATGAAGAGAGGTTGGATGTTTACCAGGGCATGTTCTACACCTCCTCCGCTGTAAGCATCCATTAGCTCTATGGCCACCATTGAAGCACGCGAAGCACATATTCTTTTCCTTTAACCAGGCTTTTCTGTTCTCCAATGTTCGTTTCACAAAGGACTGGCAATCATCTAGATCGTGCGTTTCCTTGCAATATGGACATTGATCATGTGGTAGATGGACATCTTGAGATTCTTCTACCTTCGTTGCTCGATTGTTCTGCTTATACAAAGGGTCGTCGGGACCATGGCCGGACGTTTTTGGGTTCTTGTCTGGCACTTGTATTCTTCCGAGCACGCTACGAGAAAAAACAGGATCATTCGCAATCTTTGCTTCCATTTGGACAAACTTCGTGAAATCTTCCAGGCTGGGAATTCTTGCTCCGTTACCACGAATTCTGATAGCTTCTCGCCGCCATCTATCTTGCAAGTAGAAGGGTAACTTAACGATAAGCCTTTGTAAATTATGTGGATGATCGAGAATGTTCAAATAGGACAATGACGTCATCGCACTCAAACACTGTTCGAGAAACGTAGCCAAACGATCAACCGCCGCATCATATCCGGTCTTTATACTAGACCATTCTAAAACTTTCTTCAAATACGCATTCGAAACTACGTAAGGATCACCGTACTTATCATGAAGCAGTTTCTTTGCTGTCAAATAGCCAATGTCTGCATCCATATACAAGCATCCTTTGATAAGTTCCTTTGGTTCATTGTCCAAATATTGTTCCAAATAGCGCAGACGGGTACTCGATGACTGTAACCGAGCCTCGATTTGGGATTCAAACGCCCCAACAAATATAACATATTCCATTGGATCTCCAGAAAGTTTCGTCAACGTCAGATTTGGGAGCAAACTTTCCTGATGTTGTCTTGTTAACACCGTCATTAACTCGTTTTGTTTCAAAAGCAAGTCCCGATTTCGTATTTCGACCATTCCAACGTTTTCTAGGGGTTTGGACTGGACCTGCATGGACGGTACGAATGGATTAGGTATCACGTTCTGCGGACTAGCATTTCCCGATAATTCGCGATTTGGGCCATGTTCAATTTTGTATGTCGTAGTTGGGTTTGATTCGGGTCGGCGTACACCAGAGTTCATCACAGATGCTGCACTTGGCTTTGAGTTGTCCATACCTGCTTCTTTATTAACCGTAGTAGGTATGGTCTTTCCTTCAAGATTCAAGTTCAGTTCCAAAATCTCAGTCGTCGACACTTTTTCATCAGTTACGTCGGCATACACCTTTTCTCTGGCTTGGGCCACTGCCAAGTCTTGCTCGAGTTCCATCTTTTCCATTTCGTTCTTTAACGTTTGTCTTTTATCCAGCATCGACGCCCTCGCTTTAAGTTCCGCTGTCCTTGCTCTTTCTTTAGCCAATGCAGAACGAACAGAACTGTTTGACGCACTTGAACGTTTCGACGCTGTAGATGACTTACGAGAACCACGCGAAATATTTGACCTTCGCTGGAGTTGCTTTTCGATACCTTGTTTCGCTTGAATGATCCACACATTAACTTTGACTTCAAAGTTCGTATACCGTGAAGTAAGATCATTATACCATATGAACTATACATCAGATTTTTCTTCTTCCCTTTCGAGCAAACCTATCCAGTCATTAAAAGAAAACTTCCAATCGACCAGAATTGTGTGTTGCAACGCTTGAAAGTCATTTTCAACGATGTAAATATTGTCATAGTTTGACATTAATGACTCGACGTTATGCATATATTTTTCGATTCTCTTCTGCACTGCCTTGCATTTTTGCGATCTATAAGTTCGATTTGATACGCTAAACCTTTCTCAGTAAATCTTCTTGCCCTCGACTTTGGTTCATTTGCTTCTGCTTGGGCTTCAAGGTCTTGTTCAGTGGAATATTCCGAAGCAACATCCATGTTGACTGTTGTCTTTGACTATGTTCACCGATCCGTATTATTTGTCTATTTCCCAATGTTATTACGATCAACGTTTTTAACTTATGTCCGTGCAATTAAACGATATTAAGGACATGGATATAATAAACAAATACATTCACCATTCCTCGACTTGTTTTAAACGCATTTTTATTTCTATTTTAACCTTAGTTTTAAACGGTTAAAAACGTTGTCGAGACTAACCTAAAAATTTTGAATTACAATATATATACTGAACAAATTTAAATTTCTAATTAACTGTTGCTATGGCAGCAACATCAGGTTTTAACAGCCGCTTCTCCTCGTTCTTTTGCCTGCAACAGATCGTTCCTGATAGCATTTGAAGCTACATCACCGGTTGTAACAGCTACCAGGTCAGTTGTTTGTCGAAACACGTCATAACGCTCAAATTGTGCAACCAGCTCAACTACATCCTCTTCATCGCGTTTGATCCTGTTGCGACCAGTGTCTTTGTGATCACTTCCATCCGTCCTCATGACATTAAACATGGCTTTGATATCTTCGGAAAGCTGTGCTCTCTCGTTGCATGTGATGCACCAGCGATCTCGTGCAGCGTCTGATCTTGTTATGCCAACTAAGCCTCCAGCTACTTTTCCAGCTCGATTTACATGCTCCAGAGCTTGGTCGTCTGGGATCTGATTGAATTCATTCGTAGTCTCCTTGGTAACGAAATCTCCTTCATGGAATCCCTGATACACTTCGGGAGCGGTTTGTTGTAACATCTTCATATCGGCAAGGAAGACTGTATCCCATCTGAAATAGTTCACGTGGTCAAATGCAGCAAACCTGGGAAGCATTTCAGAAAATGTCGACAGAAAGAGATCCCAATTACCTTCTCGTATCGCCCTCGTGAATCGGAGTAGAATGGAGACCAGTCGCATATAGGTTCTCCAAAAGCAAAATGTCGCATCATCCTTGTGCCATGCATCAAATTCTTCAAAGAATTCCGGAATGTTAGTAAAGTTTTCCAAAACCGAGATATTAGCCAGTTGCTTTGATTCATCATCTTGAGAGAAAAACTCTTCCGCCAGTCGTTTCGCCGGTTGCTGTGAATAACTATTAGCATCTTTGCTATTTTCATCACACCAGGTTTCAAACGGAGGCCACAACACTCTCCAGAGGGCTTCGAAAGTCAACTTGTGAGCGCGTATCACACAGTTCCAAATCTTTCCTTTCAGCATATTATCCGCTGTTGTCTCGCCAAAAACGCCACTTTCTTCCCAGATATCACTAAGTGATATGACTTTCGAGAAGGTCATTTGAGCGTGGAAACCTCCTAACATGATGACCAAATTCTTGCATTCAGTAGATTTTGACCACTGGAGCATCTTTGCTTTACAATAAAGGGCTTCGTCCAGAGTGATAACGCTGTAAAGTCCGTGCCGTAAGTGTGTCATCGCCTGACATTTCAATATGACTGTCCAGAGAGTCTCAAATTCATGTGCTGGGGCATTTACAATTGGAAGTGGGCCAACAACAGTTGGTTTTTCATCACTCTTTGACAGTGCCTGATTGAAACCAGTCCATCCAGGAATAGTTTGTACTTCAGGTCGCTGTTGCGCCATTCGGGATAAAATCCATGCCAAATCTACTTTGGATGCGTCATCTATCAGTTGTCTGTCAGGGGCATACCAGGACTCCTTCACGACATTGGAAAGCACTGGTTCCGGTTTCTCGCTTACCATGTTCACAGACTCTAGCTGATGAAGATCACTTGGGGCTTTAAGGATCCTGTTTGCTATTAAATTAATATTAAGGTGCCCTCTCCGTTCTTCTTCGTTCATTCTGCGGAATGCAGCAGATTGTGTCGCATGAAATGTTCCCATTCCACTCAGGGTTTCTTCGTTAATGTCTATGTTATCAATAGCGTAACGCGTATAATTTGAATGCGAGCTTTCTGTGAAGTTACGGGGAACAATTACGTTACCGTTCGTGTTGTATCTCTCTAATATATCATTTGCTATGGCATTGTCTAATCGTAGGATTGTCTCGTAACTTATGGAATGTCCAGCAGCGTGAAGAAGTTAAACAAGCTCTTTGATCGGGTGGCTAGGTGGACAGTTACTCCAATGCCAACGTGTTTGGGAGTATACTTCCGACCCCTGGAGACAAGAAAAACGATGTCTTGGCAGATGCTGAGGATCTTTGTCTTTAAATCGATATTTAATTCATCGTTGCTCTCATCTGTTGTATCGACCTCTCCAGCACACAACATGCGAATCAGCATATACAAAGTATCTGGGACAACTTCTTCAGCACTCTGCATATCTATAGTACCTATAGGTTCTTGACCAGGTGTAACTTTAATATCATGACGAACTTTTATGGCTACACGAAAAAGCCAGCTTAGCAACTCCGTGTCGAGGTCTACGTCTTTTAAACCATCGGCACCAAGAACACCTTGTTCATAGTTTGCATCGTTTTCCTGAATTTCCTGAAGCAAAGACTGTAGTGCTGCTTCTCCTAAATCAGCGGATATTATGAGACGCGATTCAGAAGGGTTTAGCGGCTGAATAAAAACTACTTTATCTCCAAAACAGTCCTTTATTCTGGTCCTAAACCCGACACTTTTGAAAGTTTCTGGTTCAACACCATACGCTGAATGATATCTTCTGCAAAAATATGTCCAAACAGATTTCAAAGAATATACATTACCCTTCGAGATCCCAGATTGAAGTACAGACATAACTTCCGCAAAGATAAAGCAGCTTTCTTTTTCTTGTTGTTTAGGCTGCTGTTGAGCAGTGGTTCTTTGAAAATTGGCGTAGCATTTTAGATGATATTTCCCTTCATCGGCAATCAAATCATTTGTACTTGCTAACCTGCGACTCATCACTGGATTTAAGGCTGCCTTTTCTAATATTTTTTGTGATGTTTCAAATGTTTGAACTTGGTTTAACTTTAAGCCTTTAACAATGTTTTGGCAAAATAGCATATTTACTCTATATTCGCAGGCTATTACATAAGGCGTGTCTGCATTAATTTGTTACATTGTATTTTACATTTGATTGACAACACTATAAATAAGATGGGCACAGACGTATTTTTATTGACAAACCGGCAGGCTCTAATTCAATTCAAAGAACCTGTTCGCAGGCTACGCGGACACATTAAAAGTTGTTAAGGCCGAATTTTATGAAATCCAATACACATGACACACAGGAAATGTATTTGTATTTCCTTTCGGCCATGCATGAACCTCTGGCCGCGTGTCCCTTGTTCATAATGTCTTACCAACCAGCTCTTGTGTTGTTGGTCCAAATTCACTGACAGAAGTAAATATTAATTCTTGTACTTGAATTTTGGGACTGAGTTTTTGCACAGTATCAAGGAAGAATGGGACCGAATTTTGGTAACATTCGGACGCTAAGGGGGGTTTCGCACCCCCCCCCCCCTCCCTAATGTGCGCCCCTGCAGAAGCCTGCGTTTCTATACGAACGCCACTACCAAGAAAACCTATAGTTCCGTGCAGACCCTCCTTTCTTCGCGCTGCCCGTAACCAAGGAGGGCCTGTTCGCAGGCTAAGATGTCCAAACAGCTGACATGACTACGAAAACTGGTTCGAAACTTTACGAAATTTAACTAGTACTAAGTTTTCTCGACAAATGCACATGCCAATTAATAAATTGTATTGTTATATAGCTAGTGTGAACACCAAACGTGATTGGCTGATTTGTAGTCACGTGGCTTTAGATAAATGCAATGTATCCCGCCCGGGCAATAAGTGAAAAATTGTTGCCCGCCCCGACCGGCTACGTACATAAATAAACAAAATGGCGGCACAAATTTATACCATTTAAACTACTGTTTTCGTGGCTTTGTGTTAAAATAAATAATGTAAAAGAGAAGAAAAGTACATAATAGGCAACAGGATATGCTGCTGAAACCATTTAAGTAGGTTTTTTAAATTTTAAAGTCGTTTACGCTATAGAGTTTTTGTCATGAAATACAAATATTGTTGTATGAATGTTGTTCAATGTTGATATTTGTTTCGTCGCTATATAACAAAACACTTAATGTCTTTTCCCTCGGGAAATAGTTAGTTTTGTTTTCCCTCGAATCTCAACGTTTCCCTCGACTTCGTCTCGGGAAACATTGAGATTCGAGGGAAAACAAAACTAACTATTTCCCTCGGGTGCAGACATTAAGTGTATAATATAAACGCGGACATTTGCTAAATTTGGTTCCAGACTTCGAATCAGAGGAAGCGCACGCTTAATTAAGGAATTCAAGATGGAGACAGTGAAACGTGCACAGTGAACTACAGTGGCGTGCTGGGTACTATTTTTCTGGGGGCAGTGAGCTATCAACCAATATGCGCCCCTATAATGTAACGCTTGATAAACGAGGGCCGAAGGCACGAGCCGAGCGCTGCAGGTGTTCGTAGGGGGTCCGGGGGCATGCACCCCCGGAAAATTTTTAAATTTAGAGTCTCTGAAATGCCTTTTCCTGGACTTTGGGGGAAGATTTGACAGAAATCTGATGGTCAGGATACGAGATTATAACGTGTCGAAATTTGCAATTTGGTTAGAATTTTGTAGTAGTACTTAAATTAGTACGGTATCAGTTTACTATAAATCTTTATTTTAGATTAATTATGGTGGAATAAAGTCACTCGTTGAGTATATTTGCAATTGTATAACATATTTTGATTTATATTAAACGCCGATCTCACTAATAACTTGTAATGTTTTACTAAAAAGTGTGCTTGCACTTTATTGATACGAATCTGTCATGTTAATTGTCAAAACATACAAAAAGAGTTAATACTTATATATATCACTTGATATAGTTAGTACTATATATCACGCTCAGTCTGTTTATAAGCCTATAAACACATTTTTTCTTGGTGGAAGTAACTATATTTTTTCAAATGCGTTTTTCCCCACCCACTTTCAAAATTCGGCGGAATCGGCACCCCATTTTCATTTCTACGCCCCCCAAGAATTGCCAGCTGGGGGGTCCGTGGCACCCCGGCCCCCCTGCCAGCACGCCACTGGTGAACTATATAAACAAAATAGCATAAAAATTGTTATATAGTTCAGTGAGCGTGCAAGGCCATCCTCGTCCCTAGGGTCTTCCTCGTTATGGCGCGCGAGCTGAGGAAGACCCTGGTAAAATACGCTGACCAATATTATTTCGCTTCCTGGCAACCCCTTGGGGAATAGATTTGCTGTGGTTCAATGCATAGTACCATAGATGTTCAATTACCACAAAAAGTTCCCAAGCAAAAAACTTGCCAAACACCGAGAAAATGGGTGATCAGTAATTATCCTCTATTAAATTGTATTACGGCAAGAAAATGTGAAATTTTGTATTCAATTACAACAAAAATTATTTGCATCGTCAGAAAACTTAGGAAAAACCGCATATAAGACTTTTAAACAGTTTTTTGATCCTTCAAATAGTCTTTGAGTTATTGCTGCTTTAAATGTTCGCAATAAGGACTGGGTACTAGGTCAGAAACGCGTTTTTGACAAACCTATAAACTCTAAAACTATTTGAGCTATAAAAAACTGTTTAAATGCCTTATATGTAAATTTTTGTAAGCTTTTTGATGATGCAAGTCATTTTTGTTGTAATTGAATACAAAATTTCACATTTTCTTGCTGTAATACAATTTAATAGGGGATAATCACTGATCACCCATTTTCTTGGTGTTTGGCAAGTTTTCTGCTTGGGAACTTTTTGTGGTGATTAAGCATCTATGGTACTATGCATTGAACCACAGAAAATCTATTCCCCAGGGGGTTGCCATGAAATTGCTTTTCTAAGCACTTTTTCACACAACGGCCCACAGCCTAATAGGAAAGATGATCTTGGCACGATTGCAGAATGAGAAGAAAAACCATTTTCAAAATTAGTTTGTTTTCGGTATAAATTAGAATATTAATTAATTAAGTTATCTCTTGTCTATTTAACATTAATTGTTCCACAGTCATCTTTAGTGCTAACCTGGATTCCAGAGCCTTCAGTAAATAATAAATCGAAACGTCATGAAGGCTCTGGTTCAACGGGAGGGTTCTTTGATTAAACCGCGCCAATCACAAAACAGAATTAGTGGTTTTAGTACAGATTAAACCCTCCCGTTGAACCAGAGCCTTCACGACGTTTCAATTTATTATTTACTGAAGGCTCTGGAATCCAGGGTACTTTAGTGCCAGTTTCAAACATTTTATATCTAAAATCTACGTCAAAAATACAACATTTTTGTAGCAATGAAAGCTTTCGCACAAACTTGTTTTTGAGCCGAGGCCGGCAAGAGGGGGGGGGGACAAAATACCGGGGGCCCGGAGTGCTTGTATTATTTGTATTGTTTATCGTCACTTTATGTTTGTCCTAAATGAAATACACCTACTTGCACACTCTTTCCTGATCGTCGTAATCGATCGTAAAACTTACCAAATGTGAAATAAACGAATATGATAAAATAGGCCATTTTATACCACCAAGCATTTATCCGAAAATCAAATGCTAAAATAAAGGCGAGTTTGGGTCAAAATGTTTAGATTCTTGTTTTTTGTGCATAACACAGTTCCTGAAGGCGTTCGGAAATAATGCTGACGTCAGCACTTTTATTTTTCAAGATGCTGTAACAGTGACTCAGGAGGAATTAATCCTATTGATTCAAAATTTTTGGTGAAAACTCGTAATGATGATATAAACAACACATAAAATGTCCAGTATTGTAACTAAAATTCCTGGAAATTGGACGGATACCTGCATAAGGCCCATTGGAAAGGTCTGTGAATATGGAGATGTAAAGTGTGAATGAATGTGGTGAAAACCTCAAAATTCAATCCCGTATGAAAAAGTGCTCCTGTTCAAACTTTACATTCTCTCTTGAATATTTTGCTAAAGGCGTTTGTGCCAGGGCTGTTAACTGACAAGTATGAAAGGGGTGTACATTTAGTTGGGGGTTTTTTTCAAATGTAAGTATATATTAGTGCATTATTATAATAGAAATTTCTTATAAATTTGTGACAAATTAAACAGAAGGTAATTTGAAATTTTAAAGTATTCATAAACACTAATATTACAATTTAATACATTGTGAATAATATATGTTGTTCTTAACGTATTATTTTTACAGTAAAATGTCTTAATTTCTTGCTAAGTTAATTTTTTTTAAATTTGAATTTTGGGATGAATATGGGGATGAATCTAAGGATGAATGTCCGGATAGCTTCACAGAAGCACAGACAGAAGTGAAAAACCGTTATATTATTGGGTTTCATATGACGTCACAGAAGTGACGGGGGGTCAACTCTAAAACAAAACACAGTTATCAGAATCCTTACTCTATGTCAGAGTTGACTGTTCGTTTAACCTCCTCAAAAAGGTTAGCACTATTTTCCATCCAGCAAACTGATCTAACCTCATTTTCGGAAGAGGTGTTAAATCGCTATGTAACTAACCCAAATCCTACCCCTAACTCCTAACCTCAACCCTAACTCTAACCCTAAACGAAGTAATTAAAAAATCCAAAAAGAAACGACTTTACAAAATCGATAGGGCGGTATGCTGGATGGAAAAAAGTGCTAACCCCTCATAAACCTTTTCATAATTTTAAAGTCCGAAATTTCTTAAATTTTATGACAGTAGCAACGATTATTGTTGTGATAAAATTTTCGGTCTATAACCTTCATTCAGCTAAAAAATTTAATAGTTCGGCAGTATATTTTCGCATAACCCTCTTCTCTTGAAATGTACTGCCTGATCGCACTGTCGTAAACTACGCCATTTTTACAGTAAGAAAATATTTTCGACTGACCTTTACTCAAAGTGTTCACGTTTGCACAAAAACAACGGCAAACGTCGAAAATACAGAGCAAGATTCAGGACATATCGGGCAATCTACTGAACCTATTGATTTTCATTCTTTTGCTATTCTTCATCAAAAATTTAGGCGATAAAAATATTTCGTCCGAATAGTACTACTGTCCGAAAATTGGACAACATACTGTACCTGATATATAAAACTTACTTTTTTTGACTTTATCGATCCAAATCCACATTACGCGTACGTATTGAAGTGTACTTTAAACTGTCTAAATAAAATGACATCAGACGTCCAAACTCCAAAGCCATTTTGATCAAATGCATTTGTCAAAGAAAATTTGCTCGTGTAAACGGGGCTTTAGGCGATTCTTGAGGCTGGTAACCGCTGGTCACGTGACTCCCAGAAAATTGATTGCCGTTTCGGGCCGACCATTTAACTTTTGAGGGAGGGGGGGGGGTGATTTTGAAAAAAAATTCCTGCAAGGCCATTCTGAACAAAAAAAAATACCTGCACTAACAAACTGGGGGAAAAAATATCCTGCCCCAGTATTTGGTGGGGGAAAAAAATGTTGCAAAACAGCATGGTTGCATGGATGGATCTGACCAGTCCCAGAAGATCAGCTGGTTTGATTTTCATGGACTAGTGTAAGGTTAATTTCTTGTTGGAAAACTCCACAAAATGCTGGAAATAGCTTATCTGAGCTTCAAGAAATCCAAAATTTTCTGGGCGGGGGCATGCCCCCAGACCCCTCTAGAGGCTTGCACCTTCGGTGGTCAACTCGGTTGTCTCATGATCTGAACCCTAGTTATGGCATGATCTGCTGCCCTATGACGTATACTTATAAGTTAAACCATGCATATATATGCTGCAAGTAGCTGCAGCAGTGATACAGACTTGCCGACTGGAACTTCTCCAGGTCCCCCGCTGAATATGTCCCCTCCAGTTACACATCCTTAAAAGAGGCCCTGAACCAAATGTTATACCTCATAGCAATATGTATTATTAAAAGCAATGCATGAAGCTAGAAAACTCAACGTCAACTATAATTAAAGAATCTAAATAGTATAAGCTATTGAAAAAAAA